CATCGGTTCAAGGGCGCAAATCTCTCCGGCATATGCATTGGCCGCTTGAGCTCCAAAACATATATATGCATACATACATACATACATACATACATACATACATACATACATACATACATACATACACACATAGACACCGTTTGACGGGTTTTGGCCTCTGAAGACTGCAAACAACATGTGTGCGCATCGGAATGGCAGGGGTAGGGCAGCGGGACCTTGTGCTTTCCCGAACGCCGATTCCAGCCTTCGTTGCAGGGTCCAGGGCACGGAGCAAATTTCAGTCCATGTGCATGAAGCTACCAGGCTGTCGCATTCTTTGGGCATTGCCGTGGGGTCTGTTCTTTTCCGGCTTCAGATGGATGCGCATCAGCACGCCACAGGACCTGGCATGTTCGAGCGCTGCCGGCAGAGGCGGAGGCCGGGTAGTAACACAATGTCACGGACGATTTCTGAGTCAGGGTCTTTGCAAGTACACGAATTCAGCATGAAGTGTCGAAAAGAAGTATCTATTGCTGCAGGCGCGAGAGTTGAATCGACAGCGGTACGGAAGCAGGCGAGATGCCACATCTTTGTACACTTCATTGTGTAGAGTAGGCTCTGAAGAAAGTACATCTATCAGTCTGTCAGGAAGATCCTGCACAGCGTCTATCAATCCTTCTGCACGGAGCACTGACGGAACACTTCAATTCCAAATGACGTTGACCCTTCACCTGGCAAGGCAGAGAACGTGTCCAACGATGCCGAGTTGTGCGGCACCCAAGTTGAGAGGAGCACATGTGACTGCTTTTGCTTCATTGGTACTGTGGATATCCCTGTACAATGGGAGGTCTGATACACAGGTATGTGCGCATCTTTGCAAAAGCACGCATGCATGAATGAGCGAAAGAAAGAGCGACTATGTAGTTTTCGGAAAGCAGAGATACTGTCTTGCACTGATACTTTCTATTAAGACACGTGTTGTCGTTAAGATTCGAGGGCTCCGAGTCGAGCACTATAATTCAAGCACCCGGGATTCGAGCAATCATGAAGAGCACGTGTGTGCTTCAAGCTCCCGCGATTTACCGGATTCAGGCTCGCGGGTCTCGGGGTTTAAGGTCTCCCGTTCAAGACTTTGGGGGGGGGGGGGGGGGG